TTGTGTATGGGAAGTATGGTACCAACATTAAAACCACAAGGTAGATATTCATAATGAACAATAGCATTGTAAAGTGCTACTAGGTGATTAATAACAGATCTACCGGCGTACTTTAAGTGTTCATTAACAATACCATCAGGTCCAGGTGATTTGCCGTTCTTAAGTCGCCGAATAGTGCATAACAGTTCATCAAACGTAAAAGGACACTGAAGCAGTGTAGAAGCATCATCACAGTCATCATGAGTATTATCAAGTTGAGATACAAAGTTATTTACATAATCAGTAAGATCTGAATCAAAATTAACATCTGTACATGGTAGAGATAGGTCTCTGAAATATTTAGCAAATAGGTCACATATACCTTCCTGAGTATTACAAGATGTGTTTTCGTAAGTGAGAACTTGAGTGTATTCTTTTTTACGTTTGTATATTTTGGTAGCTTTAAAGTACTCTTGTATACCTAGTTCAGAAGCCTCATAAATTCTTTTGAATTTAAGATCATCCTCATGTTTCTTTGATTGACGATGTCGTTTTCGGAAAATACGTTTTGCTTCTTTATATGCAATGTAGTAACTATTCTCTTTATCATGGATTTTACCATTACGGATCCATTCATTACGACAATTTCTCATTGTATTATGTAGATCTTTCAAATTATCTTTTTTCCAATATGGTTTCAAGTTTGCCTGGTAACGAGAGGAAGGGATACTTATATTTGCTGCAGAATGGAGAGATTGGGTTACATATGCATAATGAGCTTCGATGTATTCTTCTGGAGATGTATACTGGGAGCATTCGAATTCAACATTTCTAAAATAGTTTTCAGTTTCATACCGATACAATGAGAGATCTACTTGATTGGCTTTTCGCCAATTTAGATGTATACCACCAGTATAGCTGTATGTAGGAGTTTCACTACGAAACACCGTGAGGATAGCAAAATGGTCGGATACAGCATAGCTTATGTTATTGTCAACAGCATAACCCAGTACCCTATTTCTGAGATCACAGTCTATGAAGACGTAGTCAATCAAACTTCTTTGTGTTTTACACTTGTTGGAATAAGTAAAAACATTACTATCATCCAGAGGTATAACAGATACAAGGTTTCGTTCTGTTAGAACCCTATTTAGATACCTAGCTCTACGCTTTGAGTCAACACAGTGTCTTATGTCAGCATTAAAATCGCCAACTAATATTGTCTCTGCTTCTTGAGCGCACTTGTCATATAGATCAAAGGTATTATACAGTTCTTCACAATACCGAGAATCAAGCACGTTTGTGGACGGAAGTCGGGTGCCAATTATAAATGTTGTGCTCCCGTTAATAGTCACCTTTGCACCAAGGATGTTTTCACTCTCTGATACGTAGAGCGCAGAGCTGTTTAATGTTTTCCGGATAAACAGAGCAACACCACCTGCTCCTCTCTGTGACGAATGGTCAGTTCTACACTTATAGTATACACTAAAAGTCATGTAGATCGAGCAGTGTTGATATTTCAGACTTATTCATCCAATGTTCGTTAATGAATAGAGCATCACAGCCATCGAGCTTTGTTTTGAGATGGGGCAAACAGTTACTAGCACCCCGTACATTCCACGTTATTACACTGAAAGCTGCCATGAGAATATACACTCCAGAAACTCCACACCACGCCCTACTTGTGTGCTTCATTGTCTTGGCTTTTCAGAAATGTCGTCAGTGTACCAATCGCTGTTTGGAATCCAGTCCCTGCAGTTTACGTTTTCGGGCCAGAAGCACTCGTCGTCATATATAATATCCGCACATCGTCTTGACACTGTTATTCTGATGGTGTATGTTGGATTACGTCCCCCTTCCCAATGTTTCATCAGCCTGGTATTGGAGACGTTAACGCCACGTCCTTTGGCATATTCACAGATGGCGTCTTTAACGACTTCGTAAGGTTCATCAGCACGAACATAACTCAGTACAAATCGTTTGTTTCTATTTCTGGATACTCCTGAGAAACACTATTTCCAGTGGTTAGTGAAAGTTACGTTTCTTCTGTCTGTTGATTGGTTTCGTCTCGTGTGTGAGGAGTACTGGTTGTTAGTGACGTAATCTACTGTACCAGTGTCCACAGGAGGGTTGATATCATAGCTTGTCTGGGTCTCCGCGTGACGTCATCATTGAATGGCTGGGGTGTGCTGACAGGGCTTGATTGACTATCCCTGGGCTCCATTGTCGTCTTGCTTGGCGTGGTTACATCAGTGCTTGTATCCTGGTTTTATTGTGCTGGCTCACGGAGATATCATGCCGCAGTGAAGCATGAATACCCCACTCAGACACATTATACTGACTCCGAGCCGGCCAGTCCTTGTTGTACCCATTAATGCCGAGCGCCAGGCAGGGACCAACAAGTACCATATTTTAACGTGTTTTGGTATGACTCGGTCGGGGATCGAACCCGCGACCTTCCGCTCTCCGGGCGGACGCTCCAGCCACTACACCACGGAGGCAGTCTTCAAAATAAGAACCCCAAATGACCCTGACTAAGCTTTATTACTCGTCCCCCAAAGGAGTGTCAGTAATAGGAGTGGATATAACCATACCAGGCGTCGACGTGGTATATAAAGCCTAAAAGAGTAGAAGACTCTCTGAAATAGGTGAGTGAGTATGGCAATATTCCAGCAAATATCACGGCGCGGGACACCAGAAATGGGCTTCACACATTGTACCCATGTGGGGAATCGAACCCGTGTCTTCGGCGTGACGAGCAAACGCTTTAACCACAAGGTTACCCCACCGCCCCACATCCAGATGGAGCGTGATATCAGTCCAGTACTGACTTTAGTACGGCTACATAAATATGCACATATTAATGATTTATGATTACATAAGTAATCTGGGTGGACATTGGTTGGTTGGTGGGGCTGTCGTGTTAGACGACACAAATTACTGTACATTCAATTGCTGCATTCCTTAAGAGAGTCATGTTCCCTTGAGATCGTGGGTGTGAAATCCAGACAGGCCCAAATTATGGTTCGACAGAGCATACACGTGTTCATTGGTTGTACCAAAGAGTGAGTGAGTATGATTTTAGGCCGCTTTTTGCAATATTCCAGCAATGTTACGGCGGGGGACACCAGAAATGGGCTTCAAACATTGTACCCATGTGGGGAATTGAACCCGGGCTTTCGGCGTGACGAGCGAACGCTTTAACCACTAGGCTACCCAACCGCCGCGTGTACCAAAGAGGTAAACGCCTGACACTTGCATCATATAGAACGTTTCTCTCTGGTTAAGATGCAGTGATACAACGAAATACTATTGCCAGTGGAAGCAAACATAAGTCCCCCACCTCAACTGAATGACATTATATCGGGCACCAGCATTGCGATTTGTTTCACTTCGTGAGTGAGTTAGTGAGTGAGTGAATTTATGTTTACGCCGCTTTTAGCAATATTCGAATGATATTACGACAGTGGACACCAGAAATGGGCCTCACACATTGTACCCATTACGGGAATCGAACCCCGATTTTCGACGTGACGAGCGAACGCTTTAACCCCAAGTGATTGAGTGAGTGAGTGGTTTGAATCGTTTTAGCATTATGACGGACACAACGAATCCGCTCACCAATGTAGGGTATCTAACACCGACTTGAGAATACATTTCTTTATAAACCTCCAGAGTTCTATTGTCTCGCCAAGTTCTCCTTTTACCGAGTAAACCTCTACAGGCAATTTCGCGGGCATTCTCCAAGAAATCCGAGGGATTTTCAACAGAATTGCCCGCATCTGGGGAATTTTCTACAGAATTGCCCGCAGCTTGGGGATTTTCTGAGAAATTTTACTTGTTTTGAAGATCGATATGACTTTGTCTTGCTATTACTGAATACGATCGTAAATATCTCATTATTGAAAACATCCAATATATAGTGCCGATGCCTGGTTTCGAACCTGCGCTTTCCCTTCCCTTTCCAGCTCAATGGTTTTATCCACTTGGCAACGAAGGATCGCTGTGAAGAATTAGATTGTACAGTATGAACCATGTGTTCCTCACAACACGGGTAGTACGTGTAGCGCACGTGCAGGACATGGGTAGCGCGTACAGGCAAGGTATCGGCTGTCAGTCTCAGTTTATCCCAACAGTAAATATCAAGTACTAAAATTATATGTGGAGGATATAACATGACCCGCGGGCGTTGAGTGAGAGAGTGATTTAAGATGTAAAGCCACATCGGCAATATTTTGGCCATATCGTGACTAAAACTAGTTCTAAATTCAGAACACATACACATAATATATAAAACCCTGTCAACGAAGAACAGTAAAATTACTAGATTATCACAAAATGAGTTAAAACTAGCTAGTATATATCTTTAAAAGTAAAGAACTATTTTTGGACAATGTAGTGTAAAAATGGGCTTTAGATCACCAGCAACTGAAGGTAGATCACCATACTAGAGACCATGGGGACTTACAGTGCCTTTGCTACCTGCATGGACCTAGCTGGATTTACACCATCCCTTCAGCCACTGGCGATTGTAGTCAAATCTAGTCATAATTTAAAATCACAAACGTTTAAAAAATAGTCATGATTTATAATCACAGGCGTTTAAAAAATATGGTACGTAGAAATTTACCTTGAATGTTTTGGGACTTAAACATAAATGATTAATTCAGATTTAATTAATTAATTTCGTGTTTATTGTTTGTCTGGTATATGAAGTATGATCGGTATGGGCAGTCGCGTCAATAGTATACCTGCAATGTTCGTTAACCAGATGACGAGAATACATGGCCCGATATATGATGAAGCGGTCGTTCTGTCAAGGATCTGGTAGTCAATTAATTGGTCATCTCTATTTATATAGCATACATGTACCTCTAAACGAGGTGTGCAAGTGTGAATCTAATGATGTTTGTAATGCATTAAAACGTACGACTGGGAGTGGAGGTTTGATCTTCCTCAGCGCCACGGTCAAGTTGTTCTTTTGAACAAATGTAGTCTATTAGTGAGAAGGGGAAGAATAGGTAAGCGTTTGCTTTGACAATCTATATTTACGATTCATTATTACCGTGTAGGAATCTACATCGAAACGTCTCTCTCCAATAAACAAGAAGTTGTCAGCCATAAAACTGCTTGCTTCACCTTTAGGTTACATTCTTATGGACTTGCAAACAATCTGAAAAATGTCCGAAGACCACAGTTGTCCAATTGGTTATCTTGCCATACATAATTTATAAACAGCGACTGATTATCATCATGCGATGAATTAGGCCAGACAATTATTAAATCATATAGTGACCTTGAACAGATAGTGACACGATAATGATGACATAAAGCCATTACACCTTTGCACATGATACGCACTTATACTAACACATGCAAAAACGAATATAATTAGTTATCAACCGGGGGATTTAGATAACCATTTCGCCACATAACGACTTTCAAAATCACCCAGTTTTCCCTGGAGAGGTCCTAACTTGATCCATGTTCCTCTTATTATAGCAACTATTGAGCAATTGAATTAAGAAAGAGAACAGAAATTAGTTCAAATAGTTTAGACCTGATATTCAATGCATCGTTAGTATTCGTTAACCAGATGAATTCCTTTTCGGATTGGAGAGGTTCACGTTGAATCCTTGATGGGTTACGTGAATTAAAGGAACTCTCGCTTTATCGAATTTGAATGCTTTAAATGTATAAATACATAATAATGATTATTGAATTCAGGAGTGTAAAACAAACCCATATGCTAACTGACAATCAAGATATTGACTGCCATCTGCCTGAAAACAAGTGACAGACACAAATGTATTTTTGGCTGGAATTGCTTTTGTAGCGATAAAAGATCCCCTTTAACACAGTCTTCTTCAAACGTGACGCCGCATGAGATTACTTCCTTTACCATCTGATGTATAGCAGCAGTGCACAGGTGACAGTTTGCAGGAGTTGGGAAACGAAGCGATCGTCACTTGAGGTCAAACTTAGAACATGGTCGTGGGAACCTTATTGGTCAAGTCGCTGCTGGACTGTGCTGTAGTATGTGTAACGGTGTCGAAGTGTAAAGTATTTCTGTACAATACAGCGAGATGCACTCATCTTGATACACCAAGACAAGGAATAGATCATAGCAGTGAAGGTGGGAGATGCTATCAGTATGTACAAGGTACTTCATTTTGTTTCCATCTCCAGTGGGTGATTGATCAGATCAAGTAAACATGTGTCTTTTTCAAACATCAGTAACAGTGTTTCAATATTGATATTTATAATACCATCAGAATAATTATCGGGAAAATCTTGCCAGTTTACCTAGACGAAAACAACTTCAAAAAAAACTGTTTCTTTCTTATAGATGTACAATAGGTAGTTCAAGTGTCGCTTTAGATAAAGAGAACCCTGCTAAGTGCCTTGTCTGAATGAGGTTTCACCAGGTAACAATGTTACAGGGATTCCTGGCCCATTCTATAAACACCACACGTTTACCTCCTGTGCCAAGGCAGACTTACCGCCAACTACTGCAAGACGTTCAAGTGTCTATCATCAGGAAACGAAATATTTAAGTAAGTTCATACGTAGTCCTTATAATATGCTCCTATTCAAAGCAACAGGGGTATCTCTTGAATATATTCTTTTTATAGATACGATGATGATGATGATGACGATGGTGATTTTTCTGATTTCGATTTACGTCAAAAGCAAACAGAATTGGCTTATACATGTGATTTATTTCAGAGCAATGTAAGTTTGGCGGTACTTACTTTCAAGCTACATGCTACGTGTTTTTCTATAAATTTGAAGATCAGGACACAGCGAAGGTAAGTGACCTCAGTACTGTCGGGATACATATCCTCATGTCTTTTAAATAGGACAATTTAAGTGGTAGCGACATATTCGTAGATAACGACAATAAAACTTCGTTGCAGATATACAATGTGTGAATGCAGTATTCCAGTTAAGTTTGTTTGCTACTTAACGCCGCACTCAGCAATATTCTAGATATATGGCGGCAGTCTGTAAATAATCGAGTCTACAACCCACTGATCAACATCATGAGCATCGATCTACATGCGTCCACCAAGTCAGCGAGCCTGTGATCGCATTAGTCTCAAAAATTAGCAGCGGCATGGAGTTCGAAACAGTATGGGGGCATACCAGGCGTCGACGTGCTATATAAAGTCTAAAACAGTAGAAGACTCTCTGAAATAGGTGAGTGAGTATTGTTTTACGCTGCGTTAACCAATATTCCAGCAATAACACGCCGGGGGACACCGGAAATGGGCTTCACACCCATGTGGGCTTTAACCATAAGGGTACCCCACCGCCCCTATAAACAATATTAAAATGTTCTAAATCGGCCGAGATGTTAGTTTCCAGTAATTGTACTTTGATAATTATTGACGAATTGGGATCACATTGCACTTGGTCGTGGATAATAATATTTAACAGTAGATGCCACGATCGCCAACGATCGTGATGTGGACTGCGCAAAGATGGGCACCAAACGAACCTTCACATAAATTTACTCGACAAGGCATCTATTACGTCCCAATGGCGACTTAATTGTGGTTATAGTCCACGGTGATGATCACTGACTGTGAAACATTGAACTATCTGACCAATACACGCCGAGATATGCCAGTCTCTTGCGTGTTCCTAACGTCTGGAGCGTTGTGGAGGCCGCACCTCTAGTTACTACACAAGCAATGTATGAAATCAAACAAGTCACAGTTGTATGATAAGCATAAATAAGGCGACTGACAGTAATAATGATCCACAGATGTTAGATACGTTGCATATTATCATTTATTCATTTCCTTAAATAAAATAAAACCGAAAACGGGCCATGTTGTGTCCAGATTTAGAGACAGTAAAGATGTCATCATTTATCTTAAATCAAATCGCTTTCGCCAGGGAATAGCCAGCCGTGAATATATGCTAAAACATATCCGCTAATTGAAATAGTGATGAAATGTTATGGATAAATAACTAAAAATCAGTGACGACACAAGAGCGAGCGAGACGTACTCACATCCTTTTCTACTTTCCTCTCACACAATTACAATTCGATGTAAAGGGAACATATAGCTGTGAACATTATATGACTGAACCAGTGAAAATAGGTGTTCACGAAAAGATTAAACATTTCCGCTCCCCACGAAACTAATATTTATTTCAGCTCAAATAAAATTTCAGGAGTCATGTCTTGAGAAAGGAATGATTCTGTTGACTGATGTGTCGGAGAAAACGACCAAATTCCTGGCAAGGTTCCTGAAGGGCAAATGTGAGTCTAATTGAGTGTTCAATAAATAAGCTTGGATTCACTTAGAAGATGAGCGTGTGCTATCATGGATTCATAGCAGGAACATTCAGCTCTGTAGTGAGTGAGTGAGTTTAGTTTTACGCTGCACTCAACAATATTCCAGCTATATGGCGGCGGTCTGTAAATAATCGAGTCGGACCAAAATTTCAGTGATCAACAGCATGAACATCGATCTGCGCAATTGGGAACCGATGGCATGTGTCAACCAAGTCAGCGAGCCTGACCACCCGATCCCTTTAGTCGCCTCCTACGACAATCATGGGTTACTGAATATCAATATTCTAACCCGAACCTTCACGGGTATTCAGCTCTGTAACTGTAATAGACATATAGGTACCAGATTATGTATATGCAACCGTTGTAATAAACACAATAATTCGTAATTGGAATATACCCGATTCCTATTACTATTTATTCCAGCATGGAATCATATATGGACTGCCGGAGTTTTTGGAGGAGATGGGATTTGGGTTTGGAAGAAGAGTAAAGGATATGAGATCATCGAGTACAAGAACTGGTCTCCCGGACAACCTCCAGACAGCGACGATGCCGATGGCTATGGCATAGCCTTGAACACGACCACTTCCACGTGGGACGTTGTCAAAACCACTGAGAAGTTTGAATACGTTTGCGAAACCAGGTATCTATGATAGTATCTATAATTATATTATCTATGTAGTGTTTCATACATGTTTCATATGATCGTCTTGGCTTCGTGAGGATTAGCTTGATGTGAGTTCGAATCTCTGACACATCCCAATCACAACATGTATGCACAAGATTCATTTTTATTCGACTGGGCGGGGTATGCTCACATGTTCACGAACACGTACAATTTGATATTTTAGTGATTCATAAACATGTCAGGACACTTCGCGGCGACTTATTGTGGTTATTGCAAGGGTTTGGGGGTTTTCATTTTAATTAGCAATATTATCAATTACAGGTGGGAAAAACGCAACTTCACTGCTGAGTTAGAGGATGGAATTTATAATTTGAAAGGTGAGTAAATTTATTAGTCATGAATCGTGTAAGAGTGTGAAACATTACATTTGACCAATATGAGTGAGTGACAAGGGTTTACGTCGCTATTAGCAATATCCCAGCAATATCACTGCTAGGAACACAAGAAATGGGCTTCACACATTGTACCCATGTTGGGAATCGAACCCGGGTCTTCAGCGTGACGAGCGAAGTCTTTTCTACCCAACTGTCCCCCTGACCAATATGATGAAGAAAGTCTTGAAGCAGCAGCGGAGAAATCAAAACAGACATTTTTATGAATATTTATAACGGTATTTGTTTGTTTCAGATAATTGCGATGTGACACACGAAGTCTTGACAACATTTAGGTTACTATGACAACATTTAGATCACTATGACAACATTCAGGTTGCTATGCCAACATTTAGGTTACTATGACAACATTCAGGTTACTATGTCCCATCTTTGTCAACGATTCCGTTCAGTCCCCTTCTCAACATGGATTCTAGGACTTTGGTATTCCTGTTATACAACTGTAGATAACGTGTATATCATAGAGCTCTTTGACAGCGTTGACAGCTCACTTGGCGCTATCACTGTGTTTTTGTACATAACATATGTTTAATGCTGACACATTGAAAGTGTTATTTGTTTGTGTTTTTGAGATGCTTTAAGACACATAATTACCCTTTAACCACGAACATAAACACATACAAATTGAAGTAAACATA